GTGTGTGTGCGCTGAAACATGGAGATCTCTTGGTCTCCGGTTCATTTCCCATTGCTACTGACCTCGTGTTTCAGTTGCAGGGCTGAAATGCAAGTCACGATTGCACACATCTTTTGGATGAGACAAATCTAAGTAGAGGTCACAAAGTACATGCCATTTAAAAACTGAATATATTTATTCAATATTTAAATGTTTCTTGCAAAATGGTACTACTTATTACTTATTCTTCCAAAACTTTAATTTAGCTTCGTTATTGTATAAATAATATTTATTTAGATCTCTTGGTCTGCAGTTAATTTCCATGGCTGCCGTCCTTGTGTTTCAGCTTCATGTGATGTTAAAGAATGCTGTACACTCTTCAGAAAAAAAGTAGAAGATTGCCCAGTCATCACCAAAAGGACCCCACTGAAAATATGTCTTATGATTTTCGTGGGCTATCCTTGGGTGTGCATGACACCAAAGAAATCCAATCCATTGTTATTTATTTTGGCTGGATAATATTTAAGATATGAATGCAGTATTATAATTTTTATGCATACATATGGCATATTTTATATGTGTACATGAATTTGTTAATCAGGACCATTCGATTTGATAGTAAACTGAATAAACAATAAGTGCTCAAGAACTGGTGTACCGTTCTTTGTTGTCTCCATTCCTAGAGCCTCTTGTCATGGTAATTTTATTTTCATATCACCTTTCTTCATATCTTTTGCTTTACTTCTTGACAACATTGGTGGGAGATAATATCACCCCATTTACAGGAGGGGCACAGGAAACTATTTCCCTGCCCAGTGTTTAATACGGTGGTATAAAAGTTGTTAATCTGTCTAGTACCTCACGGTAGGCGTTAATTGAATTTTTATCCTTCAGAGAAAATACTGAATTAACTAGAACAAACATATTAACATGAAGATTCAGCTGCAGATGGGTCACGGAAGAAAAAGAAGCCTACTTGCCATGATTATTATCTGGACTAAAATACTGCATCATTTATTTATTTATTTACTTTATTATTTATTTAGGTGCACAGCGCATGCGCCAAAGATTGTCAAAAGCGAATATCACTGTCCTACTTGTAGGTGACAATCCTTTACACAAGACAAACATACAGTGCTTTACACAAACTAAATCTCAATATGAGGTTTAAGGGAGTAGAGTTGTTTTGGTCGTGAAAAAGAAATCCTGCAAGACTGACAGGAACTGATCCCAGGACCCTGGTATTGGAAGGCAAGCATCTTAACCACCAAGCTATTCAACTCCACGTAAATGCAGAAGGGAAAACAATAGACTGACATTCAACTATCAACAGGGTTCAAAGTAAGGAGAAAGGAAAGATGCAAAAATTCATGATGCAAACATTCAGTAATTGATCATATTTATTATCGAACTATAATTATTTTACACTTCAAATTTATGGTTCTGTGGTTTTATATTAGACTTAGAAGAGTAATGTTGTGAATAACATCGGCGTGACAAAATAATATTTTTTCCTAGATATCACAAGCCTTTGTTAAATAGCATTTTTAAATATAAAATATCACCAGTGATGGTAGCTCTTTCATTAAACTTTCTAGAGAATTTGAGAATAATCTTAAAACAAAGCTGTAAATTGCATACAAAATATAAAATACATCTCATTGTACAATCTTCATCACATCTAAGTTATACATTAAATTAATAAATCTATTGACTTTATATTGCAAATATAATTCAACTTTCCGATAAAAATAAGTCACATAGATTTTAATGCCTGATAAACTTAGAAATAATAGCCACGAATTCAAGTTAAAGGCTTTAGGTACCGCGATGCGAGCGTTCTAAACAATTATTTCACACACACAAAATGTTGTATATACTAAACATTTTATTACATTAATACAGAAACAGATCTGTGCAGAATTATCATTTAACAATATCAAAATAATATCAATAAAAACAATATAAATAATGATATACAATAATATATATATCAATATATATTTAACAATTAGGAGATTTCGGAAATCATAAAATTATGTCTCTCTTTAATAAACATGTTTGCATAACAGTAATTACCACTACAAAATCTCACTTCTAAGTTAAGATATTTTTGTAGTCATTTACTTTGTTTCGCCTAAGAGCCAAACTCAACTGTATTGTCTTCTATACGTTTGTACTCGTAAGCGCCACGTCCGTCAAACTGCAAGTAAAACTCATGGTATTTCCATAAGGACTTGCGATGGGAGACGGTGAACAGAGAGATGCCAACTTCTCTAGCATGCTTGTAGATGTAGCCCTCTACATCAACACTCACGGCACTTGTACACTCATCTAAGATTGCAAACTGCGGCTTGTGGTAGAAGAGGCGAGCCATCTGTGGATAAGAAACCATCTGAGTATTTAAGTCTTGTCCAGACCATTAAATTTTCATTGACATGCTCAAATATGGTCATGATGACATCAC